TTAAATTAAAATTGTCACCTTAAAACCCCTTTTTAAAAGCTTTACATATTGATAAAATTATTTTGGGTAGCAGTTTATGATGACACCATGTTTCATTGTCCATTACAATGCTTGGATTTCCCTGATGCATTTGCTTCATTTTGTTTTATTGCTCATATATATGAAACTAAATCTAATATAACTCTATGTATGTTTGTCTATTATTTTTCTTTTCTTACCTATTTGGATGAGTCTACAGGGCCATTTTTAGTGTTGTCCTATTAAACATGTGTTTTATGGTATTATTTCCTATGTACCATAAATAAAAAATTAAAGATTAGATCACATGTATTAAATGTTACATATTATATATGTTAAATTATATTAATTTATTAGATTAGATTTTAGTAGGTACATTTTCTTAATTCTGCTGAACTAGATACAATGAAACCAACTCATAGCTCTGTGAGCCAATTTACATCCATTACATTTTGCATCAAATGGTGTATGCATAATCTACATACATTTTAAACCTCAGAAGACATTTTTCCTGCTTTATTGAGGTGTAATTAACACATAAAATTATATATATTTAAAGATTATAAGATGATGTTTTGATATACATATACATTTTGAAATGATTACCACAATCATACCAATTAACATATCTATAACCTCACATAGCTAAAACTCAGAAGTCATCATTGTGTTTATTTCAAAGTCAGTATTTGTGTATAGGTTTCTTAGTTATGAGTACTCCTAATATTGTAGTTTGTTCTTTCTGATATCATTGGATTCTACTTTAAGCACATTAATAGTCTTCTTAGTAAGTTTTCTAAATTACATATCCAAGAGAAATATTCTTTTCATGATACATTTCTCACTTACATTATTATACTTGAAATATATATTTTGTAGCATATGAACATTCAAGTGAAAATTTTTTTCCATTGAGCTGAAATGCCTTTAAATTATTGTAACCTGCCACTGTAGTTTGCTATGTTGATTAGTTATCATTAATTATTGTTTTACTTTAACAGTAAAACTTTTATTAACTTTAATTGTGCTTTTTGTTGGTAAATTAAATTGTGCTCATGTGAGAGGAATTTATGATGTTCTCAACATTATACTGAATCTCCTTTACAATTGACACTCACAATGATCTCCATCCATGTACACATATGATTTAGGAACTAATTCAATTCATTTTATTTTTTCTTTAATCTTTTTTTACAGTCCAGTCTTTATCTCCAACCCGGTCAGCCCTCTGACTGTTCTACATCTCATACCTCCCCAATCCCTGTCTCAAAGATGATGTCCCAACCTCCTACTTTCCTACCCCTCTAAAGCAACCTCGCCATTCCCTGGGGCCTCAAGTCTCTTGAGGGTTAGATACATCTTCTCTCACTAAGTCAAGACCCGGCCGTCCCCTGCTGTATATGTGCTAGGGGCTTCATATTAGTTGGTGTATGCTGCCTGTTGGTGGCACAGTGTCTGAACAACCTCAGGGTTCCAGGTCAGTTGAAACCACTGGTCTTCCTATAGGGTTGCCCTCCTCCTCAGCTTCTTACAGCATTTCCCTAATTCAACCACAGAATTCACTAGGGTCCATTGGTTGGGTGTAAATATCTGCATCTGACTCTCAGCTATTTGTTGGGCCTTTCAGAGGGCAATTATGCTAGCTTCCTGTTTGTAATCACACCAAAGTATCAGTAATAGTATCAGGCCTTGGGGCCTCCCCTTTAGTTGGATCCGAATTTGGGCCTGTTACTGGACCTCCTTTCCCTCAGGCTGTTCTCCATTTTTGACCCTGTAGTTCTTTTAGACAGGAACAATTCTGGGTCAGAATTATTGTCTGTAGGATGGCAACTCCATTACTCCACTTGATGTTCTATATTTCTAGTGGAGGTGGGTTCTACAAGTTCCCTCTCTCCATAGTAGGGCATTTCATCTAAGATTCTCAGCTCTCAAAGGTCAGGACCTTAGATAAAATGCCCTACAAATTCAATTTCTATTGCCTTCTCAAGTAAGTCTAGCTGCATAAATTTGACAGTTAAACATATCTAGGACACTCAACTCCTTGTCTACTTGACATACAAATGCCTCTCTCTAACACAACCACTTATAATCTTCGTTTCAAAGAAAATTCAAAATAGAGTTTTCACTGTAATATTATACTGTGAAACATAGTACAAGCTTTAAAAGTACTGAAAATCTCAACAAATTATAATACTTAAAATTTCAAAGTCTTATAAATCTAGTTTCATAAATATTGGCTACTGTATTCTCTCAAATGTGAGAATTGTTATAGAAAGACAATGTCATTTGACAAAATGATACACGTTTGTTAATCTAAATGGTATGGCTGGATACTTCATCTCTGGATACTAATCATGATTTTCTTAACTCCAAAATCCTTAAGCAGAACCAACTATCTAGTTCTGACATCCATAGTATGTGTAAGTTTTTATAGATTTAGTCTGTCTCTACTACACACCTGCTATGATATTGACAATATCTCATATCTTAGAATCTTCAACATCATAGATTTGCCAATGCAACTAAGCCTTTACTCTCAACAATTGCATCTCAGCTAATTTCTGTGGTTATCCTATCCCTACAAATAGGTGCCAAGTGTCAGATGCTCCCTCATTGACTTTAAACCAGTTTCACTTGAACAAATGTTGTTTACCTTTGGCCTGTTTTTATTGAAAGCTCAAAATGCAGACTTCCTTTCTTGGATTACCTTGCCCTCAATAATGTATTGCTTCAAGCAAGGAGCTAAACAGTATCTTGTTTTAGCCAACAAATGTCCATAAGTACAGTGTAAGTTTGCAAATATTCAGACACTTCTCTTTTAAATCACACCATTTCCCTTTATTAAATAATGTGAAAGAAAACTGTAACTGTTTTCACATGGTGTAGTGGGTTTAGGAATGACTCATAGTCTTGTGAATTTTAAAACAGATGTTTTCTTTATTGCTAAAGAATATTTGTTTAGCATAAAATTTTGTTGTTCATAAAAATTCTATTATACATTCATATTGTTTAGTGTAAATATACATTTAATTTAATTATGGGATGACTTAATGGCTTGTTAAGTAATCTATGAAGAGATGCATAGGAAAGGAGTAGTGTAACATGAACCGAAACATATCGAAAAAAGTGCATTTCACATACAAATGTATATTTAAAAGTTCCATGTGTCATAATGTCCATGTTCTTGTCTGGGCTTTCTGTAATTATTTGTTCTTATTTGACTCATTATCTTCAGTTCAGTCATTTAAAAAAAAATTTGTGATATCATTTTTTCATTTTCTTTTTTTTTTTGCCCAGTTTCCTCATGACATTTAATTACAACAGATCATTAGGCATAGCTACATGAAAACCCTCTTGACATCTCTTTACAATGAACTTTTCCACAAGAATGAAGCATCCTCATAGTAGCAGGAGGAGAGTGGTGGAATAGGGGTTTCCAGAGGGGATAACATTTGAAATATAAATAAATATAATATCCAATTTAAAAAATTAAGAGCATGTCTATAAGAGAAGTTCATAATAATACCAAATAAATACTAAAACATAAAAGAAAGAATGAGTTCTATTGACAGAGAAACAGTGCTCAGGAAAAGTGTCTAGGAAGGAAGGATTTGTAACAAGTATATACCAAATTCTTTTACAAAGTATATGTGACCTCTTTCATGAGGTCACATATACTTTCACCTCTTTCATGAGGTCACATATACTTTCACCTCTTTCTATTAACTGAGAAACAATGTTTTGTGTTCTGGAGGATTCAGGTGAGGTTTGGTTCCATAGAATAACAAAAACTAATAGAATAAAATGACTCTATTATTAAGATTGATCCACAGATTCATTGTCTTTCTCAACAAATTAAAATGACATTCATCAGGTATATTTTTAAAATGATCTTAAAGTTTGTATGGAAACATACATTGTGGAGAGCCATGGTGGGCAGAGATGGCGCTGGCATCCGATGCCCTCCTAAGTTTTAAGATTTACTCCCTTTGTGCAAGGGAAAAAGCATGCCAAGTCACAGCCCATTCCAGGTTAGATATGCATTTATGGGCAAACAGCCAACCAGAAATGTACACGCCGCTCCAGGGGGTATAAAAACAGTGCCTTCTCGGGGCCTGGGGTCTTTCCTCTACATCGTAATAAAAGAACTGCAGAAGGACCTGGTGTCTGCGTGCATTCTTGCTGGCGAGATAAGTGTGCGCGGGCAACATTCTGTTGCCGAAACCCGGGAGATTCACCATCTGCGCCTGAGGAAGACACCCTGCTTGCAGGGCAGGTCCAGAACTGCAGGGAAGGTAAGCTTTGAGAGGCAGGTTTGGCCTGGATTTTTCCCATCTCACTCCCCAATCACAAGCCACTGCAGGGGCCTTTGTTATCCTCATGCCAGCATTCATTGTCTTCCTTTTGATTCTGTTTTGTTTCCACTGATTTTCTTGTTAAAATTCTGCCACCGCCTGAGCCGCCCCCACCCCCCTCCCAGCTGCCGCTTCAGGCCGGTGGTCTTAAAAGTCAGGCGGAGCTTTGGCACAGTTGGTTGGACGTAAATAAGCTGCAGTGCCCTCCCAGTGTGTCAGATTCTCTCGTAGATAAGGGAGCGACATGGGAGCCTCGCAGTCAGTGGTTACAGCACTCCAGAAGCTCTTGGGACAGCATAAATTGAAAATCTCTGCTAAAACACTAGAAGGGTTTGTCAGGGAGATTGATCGTGTAGCACCGTGGTTTGCATGTTCAGGAACGCTGACACTCGCCTCCTGGGACAAGCTAGAAGGAGATCTAATTAGGGAACAGTAGAATGGAAAGTTGAGGCCTGGGACACGCCCATTGTGGAAATTAATAAGGTCGTGTTTACAAGATCAAAGGTGCAGCTCAGCTACTGTGGCGGTCCAGGGAGTATTAAGAGAGATTCAGGATAATAATCTGCCAGAAACAGAGCTTGGGAAGTGCTTGGGGGCTCAAAATAGGAAGGGAGCCTGGATATAGGCATGCCTAAAAATCCTCCCAAGGACGTTCGATCTGTGGGAATGACAGAGCGAAATATAATTTACCTGGGAGAGCAGAGTAAAGGTAAGGGAACGAGAAATTCCCTGGGTGAGCAACATACGATGGAGAGAAAGCCTCTATATCCAGTTGAGGATTTGCAAGCTTTGAAATTATATGATTTTGAGTCAGGGGAGCCTGGTTCCTCCGAGTGGGAACAGGATTTAGATGGGAAAATAGTCCGCTATGAGGCGGAAGGAGATGAAAAAAATAGTCTGCTTTGAGGCGGAAGGATACCATTCACATGGGCAGCTGCTGCCGCCGAGTCGAGAACAAAGGGAGGTGGGGATTAGAAAGCACACGCACGCGGCTCCCCCGCCCGCCTGGAATTCCCAGGCAGCATTCCCCGCTGCAGCTTCCAGCACTCCTCCACCTTACGCTGACCAGTGCTGCTTAGATTCCTTTCTTTCAAAAGAAAATACAAGAAAAATGTTTCAAGCTTTTCCAGTGTTTGAAGCTGCAGAGGGAGGTCGTATTCATGCACCTGTAGAATATACTTCTATTAAGGAGTTTGCTGAATCAGTTCAAAAGTATGGGTTTGATGCAAATTTCACAATTATGCAGTTAGAGAGACTAGCCGGTATGGCAATGACTCCGAGCGATTGGCAGAATACAGTAAAAGCTGCCCTCCCTAACATGGGACAATATATGGAATGGAAAGCTTTGTGGCATGACACGTCTCAGGCACAGGCAAAAGCCAATGCTAATGCGGAAGACAATCAGCGACAATGGACATTTGACCTGCTAACAGGGCAGGGACAGTTTGTTAATAATCAGACAAATTATGAATGGGGAGCATATGGCCAGATCTCCGCTGCTGCTATTAAGGCGTGGAAAGCTCTTTCTATAAAAGAAGAAGTAGGAGGACACGTAACCAAAATATTACAAAGTTCCCAGGAGCCATTCTCAGAGTTCGTTGCTAGGATGACAGAAGCAGCAGGCAGGATTTTTGGGGACCCGAAACAGGTTAAGCCACTGATAGAGCAATTAGTATATGAAAATGCTTCACCAGAATGCAAAGCAGTAATTACCCCTAGTAGAAACAAAGGGTTAACAGATTGGATAAAGGTCTGCAGGGGGATTGGAGGCCCGCTGACTAATGCTGGCCTCGCAGCAGCTATCTTGCAAAGCCAGAGTCGCTCAAGTCCTGGCAGCCGTAAAGTATGCTATAACTGTGGCAAACTGGGTCATTTAAAACGAGAATGCTGTGCTGCCACGCAGAAAAGACCGGGAATTTGCAACAAATGCAGGAAAGGCTATCACTGGGCTAATGAGTGTCACTCAGTCAGAGATGTTCAAGGAAAGCTTATACAACACGATCCCCCACCATCGGGAAGAGAGGAAGGCCCTCCAAAAAACGGATTTCTGGGCTCCAGGTCCCAGGGCCCCCAGAAATATGGGACACAGGCATGCAGCTGGGGGACACTTTTAGCCGCAGAGCTACAGGAACTTCTGCAGGACTGGACCTCTGTGCCACCTCATAATTCCTATTGACGCCACATGAGGGTGCACAGCTTGTCTCAGTTAATTTTAAAGGTCCCCTGCCTGAGGATAGTGTTGGCCTTATCCTAGGTCGTTCTTCCCTAACATTGAAAGGACTTGTGGTTCATCCTGGAGTAATAGACCAAGATTATACAGGAGAACTTCAAGTTCTCTGTTCTTGTCCACAAGGCATATTTTCTATTTCCCCTGGAGATAGAATTGCTCAATTGGTTATTCTTCCAAGTTTACATAATTGTTTCCCATCAACCGGGGTGCCTAGAGGCACCAATGGGCTTGGTTCTTCAGGAAATGACTTTGCTCATTTGGTAGTGGATCTTAAAACTAGACCCACTTTACAATTAATGATAGAGGGGAAGAATTTTACAGGAATTTTAGATACAGGAGCTGATAAAAGTATTATTTCCTCTAATTGGTGGCCTAAAGCATGGCCTGTTACACAATCATCCCACTCCTTACAAGGGTTGGGATATGAGGCCAGCCCTGCAGTCAGTTCATGTTCATTGACTTGGCAAACACCAGAGGGTCAGACAGGAAGCTTTATACCCTATGTACTTCCTCTCCCTGTTAACCTCTGGGGAAGAGACATTTTGCAAGACTTGGGACTGACATTGACTAATGAGTATTCACAACAAGCAATAGAAATTATGAAAAGGATGGGATATAAGGAAGGAAAAGGCCTTGGAAGAAAAGAACAAGGAAGATTAAACCCAATCTCACAAGAAAGTAATACAGGAAGACAAGGTCTGGGTTTTCCCTAGTTGCCATTGAGGGCTCTATGCCCATACCCTGGCTTACGGAGGAGGCCATGTGGGTACCTCAGTGGCCCTTATCCTCTGAAAAATTGGAGGCTGCTACTAAATTAATTGAAGAACAAGTTAAAAATGGCCATTTAGAACCTTCTACTTCCCCTTGGAATATGCCTATTTTTGTTATAAAAAAGAAATCAGGAAAATGGAGACTTCTACATGATTTAAGAGCAATTAATGCACAGATGCGATTGTTTGGCTCAGTCCAAAGAGGTTTACCCTTGCTTTCTGCCTTACCCAGACAGTGGAGGATAATAATTATAGATATTAAAGATTGCTTCTTCTCCATTCCCCTACACCCACAAGACAGACAGAGATTTGCATTCACCTTACCTGCTATTAATCACCTTGAACCTGATAAGAGATACCATTGGAAAGTTTTGCCTCAAGGCATGGCTAATATTCCTACTACGTGTCCACTGTATGTACAAATGGCCCTTGAACCCGTTAAGAAACAATTTCTTTCCCTGCTCTTGATTTTTTATATGGATGATATTTTAATATGCCATAAGGAGTGGACCATTTTGCAGAACTCGTACCCTTTATTAATTGCTGCATTAGAACAGCGAGGTCTGCATATTGCCACAGAGAAGGTTCAAATTTCAGAAATTGTTTCTTTTTTAGGGACAGTTATTTACCCTGAGAAAATAGTTCCTCAAAAATTAGAAATTCACAGAGATCATTTACATACCTTAAATGATTTTCAAAAATTATTAGGTGATATAAATTGGTTAAGACCATTTTTGAAAATTCCCTCCGCTGAATTGAAACCTTTGTTTGACATTTTGGAAGGAGATTCTCATATTTCCTCACCAAGAGCACTAACACCGGCTGCAAGCCGTGCCCTGAGATTGGTAGAGGATGCCTTGCAAGAGGCCCAACTAAAATGCATAGATGAGACCAAAACTTTTAATTTGTGTGTCTTTAAAACCAGACATTTGCCAACTGCTGTGTTATGGCAGGATGGGCCCTTATTATGGATTCATCGCAGTGCATCTCCTGCAAAGATTATTGAATGGTATCCAGATGCAATTGCTCAGCTTGCCCTTCGAGGATTAAAAGCAGCTGTTACTCATTTTGGAAGGGAGCCTAAAGTTCTGGTAGTACCTTATACAGCACATCAGGTTCAAATATTAACTGCTACCACTGATGTTTGGGCAGGGTTAGTCACCTCCTTTAATGGCCAAATAGATAATCACTATCCTAAACATCCCATTCTACAATGTGCCTTAACTCAAGCTATTGTATTTCTGCATATCATATCTCAAGAACCACTCCCAGATGGGGTAGTGGTGTATACGGATGGGTCAAAAACAGGAATAGGTGCTTATGTGGTTGATGATAGAGTTACATCTAAACAATATAATGAAACTTCACCTCAAATTGTGGAATGCTTAGTGGTACTGGAAGTCTTAGAAACCTTTCCAGGCCCCTTAAATATTGTATCTGATTCCCTTTATGTGGTAAATGCAGTTAAAGTCTTGGAAGTTCCTGGATTAATTAGGCCCTCTAGCAGGTTTGCAAAAGTTTTTCAAAAGATTCAATCTACCTTGGTTAATAGGAGACATCCTGTTTTTATTACACATATTAGGGCTCACTCAGGTCTACCTGGTCCAATGTCTCATGGAAATGACCTAGCAGATTGAGCCACAAAGTTGGTTGCTATCGCCCTATCCTCAAAATTGGATTTGGCCAAAGACTTTCATAAAAAATTTCATGTGACAGCAGAGACACTATGTTGTCGGTTTGATATAACTAGAAAAGAGGCTAGGGATATAGTTACTCAATGTCAGAATTGCTGTAAATTTTTACCAGTGCCTCATGTGGGAATAAATCCACGAGGAATTCAACCATTGCAGATTTGGCAAATGGATGTTACCCATATTCCATCCTTTGGGAGACTTCAATATTTACATGTTTCTATTGACACCTGTTCTGGAATCATTTTTGCCTCCCCTTTATTGGGAGAAAAGGCAGCACATGTTATCCAACATTGCCTTGAGGCCTGGAGTGCCTGGGGAAAGCCTAAAATTCTCAAGACAGATAATGGACCAGCGTATACATCTCAAAAGTTTGGACAATTTTGTCGCCAAATGGAGGTAACCCACCTGACGGGTCCTCTGTATAATCCTCAAGGACAAGGCATCATAGAATGGGCTCATCACACTCTGAAATCTTATTTAATAAAACAAAAAGGGGGAGTCGAGGAGGCTCTACCCTCAGTGCCACGAGTAACCATTTCTATAGCACTCTTTACTCTTAATATTTTAAATCTGGACAGTCAGGGCCATTCGGCTGCTGACCGCCATTGCTTAAAGCCTGACAGGCCAAAGGAGATGGTCAAGTGAAAGGATGTCTTGACCGGACAATGGAAAGGCCCGGATCCTATTTTAATAAGATCCAGGGGAGCTGTTTGTGTTTATCCACAGGAAGAAGACAATCCATTCTGGCTACCAGAGTGACTGACGCGAAGGCTCGTGGCAACTGAGGGTGACCCCTGAAGGATTCATCTGCAGATGTTTCCAGTCCTAATTTTAGTATATGGGGGTAACAACGATGGGCTATACTATCTGCTTTTCCTAAACCCATACCTGTTAGACATGATGCCGTGGTGTTTCCAAGATTTCTTACAACTAATAAAACCATGGGGTTGCCTTATCTTCCCTATGATAAAACCCACGCCCCCCTTGGGGAAAATCGCTCTTTGCCTGAACGGGGCTCTCTCCACTTTCAGATTACTGAGACAGGAAACTGTATAACTCTCTCGAAGAGAAACTTGGGGTTGTTTTATGACAAGAGAAGCTGGGTTAAATTAACAACTAAAAAGAATAATAATGAAAAGGATAATAGCTATGTCAAGGAGTTCTCACAGTCCTTTTTGCAACCAGCCATTTGGATAAATGGAACATTTTTATCACCCAACTTGACTGATGGGAGACATCCCCGTCAACCTAAGATCTCTCCCTTTTGTAGTCAAGAAGATGAGGGAGTTGTTCTGCCCTCGTCTGATTGTCAATCGAGAGTAACACGATAGGCAGATACCAGTGAAACTTTTTCCTTTTCACCCAATATGTTGGGGGATCCTGGAGCTGACACGGTGATGAGAGAGGGCCCTTTTCTACAGGGCATTAGTATGAATCCCTTCCACAAATGGGTACTCTGTGAGATTAATGGCAGTTGTACCGACCTTAACCCTCTAGCCTTTCTCCAGGGTGGAGCAGCAGGAAGGGCATCCTTTACAGGAGTTATTAATGGAACTAGGGTGAAACAGAGTTCAGATCAGAACCCTCGGTTGACAAAGCCTATTCAGTTAATTACTGGAGTTAACAAGATTATTGTAAATCAAACGGTATTTTCACCTACCCCAGTGTGCGTCTTTCCCTCCTTCTTGTTTATTCTTTCAAATTCCTCATTTGAAAACTGCACTAATGATTCATGTATGATGTCTCAGTGTTGGGCTGTTGGACAAGCTAAACGTGCCATGGTTGCCAGGGTGCCACGATGGGTCCCTTTTCCTGTTGATACCCCCTCTACCCTATCATTATTCAGACAAAAAAGAGACTTTGGTATAACTGCAGCCATAGTGACGGCGATATCAGTTAGTGCCATTGCAGCTACGGCTGCTGGGATTCCTATGACAACCAAAGTCCAAACAGCTGCAGCTTTAAATCAGCTATCCACTACAGTGGCAGAGGCAGTCAACATCCATACTTCTACAAGTGCTGAATTGAAAGGCGGATTGATGATTGTTAATCAGCGCCTAGATTTGGTAGAAGAAAGGATAGATATTCTCTTTCAATTGGCACAATTGGGATGTGAAAGAAATCTGGGAGCCCTCTGCATTACTAGTGTTCAATATGAAAACTTTACTTGAGCAGCTAATTTGTCCAGACAATTGTCTCATTACCTAGCAGGAGAATGGTCAGAAGGATTTGATGAACTTCTCTAGA